ATTTCGTCAAAATGGACATTTTTTATTTTTTGAACGAAATTGAAACTGAGTTTTTTGGCCGAAAACTCGTCAAAATTTGCTGTTCCTGAGGGTCCATCAGGAACAACAAATTTTGACGAGTTTTTGACCAAAAAACTCGGTTTCAATTTCGTTCAAAAAATAAAAGATGTCCATTTTGACGAAATGGCAGTTACTAAATGTTGATGTTACGTGGAGGGATACAGATACAGAAATCTGCGCATCTAATACGTAGAACGGCTTTGCCACAAGGGGAGACGGGTGAGCAGACAGACCAGGACCACTTCGACAAGGAGTTGGGTACTGTAGGTCGGGAGCACGCGCAAGGAAAGTTTGATATGGGACAACCAGAGGCACAGCTGGCACACATAGCAAACAGGAGGCTGAATTGGGGAGAAGAAAGAATACTCCAGGAGGCTGAATTAGAGAGAAGAAAGAATAAACTACCTTGTGCCTTGAAACAAACTGCAGCCACCCTTAGGACCATCCTCATGGAAGAGGTCTTCGACCAGAAAGTCTGAGTAGGAGCCTTATTGACTTTTGACTTTGGTTGAAGGCCTTGGAGGACATCATCATAGATGTTTCTGTTGCCAAACTAATCATTGCTGCCACCAGGTGCTTGCTCCCCACCAATAGAAAGGAGTCATCTTTGATGCAAAAAATAATAATAATAATAATAATAATGGCGGTTACGCAGTCCGCTTACGGTCATGTCCTTCGACCAAAAGCTTGTTTTATCGTCCTTCCCTTCTCCTTGCTGTGATCTCTCTCTCTCTCTCTCTCTCTCTCTCTCTCTCTCTCTCTCTCTCTCTCTCTCTCTCTCTCTCTCTCTCTCTCTCTCTCTCTGTGTGGTCTTGTCTTTGTTTCCCTTTTTTGCTTTACCTTTTATTAACGCTTCACATCTACGAAGTTCAGCTTCTAGACCCCATTCATTGAAACCTTTGAAGTTTAATGTCACACCATGGCAGAGAAGACTATGACGAAATCGATCTCTCCTCCATCCACCCCCTTGAAGAGAGAACCTGCGAACCATTATTCCCTTTCTGTGCAAGTGTTGCCCGTATGCCATTCATCCTTATTTTTCTGTGTGCATCTGATTTCTTCCATTCTTTGTTTCATTTGTGGTTTGGTCATGGTGCTTGTGGCATGGGTTGGGAAAACTTGGGATGGGTGTGGAGAGCAGGAAGAAGCGGCAAAAATGGGAAGAGAGAGCTTGAAAGATATGGAGGCTGACAGGGAGGTCTTGGTCACGCTCTGCAAGTCCTTTCTTAAAGGTTCGATGGCTGATATTGATGATGATGATGGTGAATCGGATGACATTGCTGCCTCTGACGTCGCCAAGGGCACACAAAATGCCCACCAAACTGGAACGATGTCTGTGTCAGCGAATGACTCTGCGTTATTCGAAAAGAATGCGGCTGCTTCTGTTGTGCAAGAAGGTATGATGGCCTGCTCTTGATTGGAGGGAAGCCTGGGAAAGTCCAAAAAACTTATGTCAAATTGTCAATTACTATATTATCAGGTCATAATATATATATATATATATCGTCAAATAGAACTGCGCGGTAAACCGTAGGCAGAGAGGGAGAAGAGGACAACAAACGAGGGGCTGTGACAAACTGTTTCGTCGGAGTTTCACCGACTCATCAGGAGGCTGAACCCTCAACAG